TATCTTCATGTGTTTGCATTTCATTTACACCTTTTTTCCTGCAGAGCTGTCTTTTAACTATTTAAAGAAACACAACATCACTGCCACCACAACAAACAAAAGTTGAAGCCAGTATGTTAAATCAACATCGCAGTCTAAATCTAGATTCATTAGCTTTCATTTAATCAATCTTGAAAATTAGTGGTCATTTTTTGACCACTTTTGAAAAACCACTTACATCACAACTAAAAATCAACGATGCTCTAATAATATTTTAGCTTACACTAAACACAGCAACTTATTAACAACTAACATCGCTGAGTATCGACCATTCAGCCACAAACGAACAACTTGCATATCACTGTATTTCTTTATCTAAAGCAGTGGCGTTCCTTAGAAAATCAAAGTAAGTAGTTCTTGTAAAGTGAAATCTACACTTCAATTAAACCAAAGTCAAAGCGTGTCTCTCTGTACCTCAATAAGCATTCTGTCTAGTTGGCTGCTTGCACAATCCCTTCAAATACTGACATCTTGTGGCCACAGTTGGCGATTGTCTCTAGAAGAAGGCTTGACTTTTCATTTAAAAGCCACAAATCTAGAGTTTTGAAATTATGCTACATAAATAGTTTTATTTAACATTAGGCACTGAAATAAATTAAAATGTTTTTTTAAATTTAATTTCTGATGAATTCACTTATTGAACGACGTCCTACAGAAGAGGATTAGGGCCACTGGAAAAAAAAAAGTGGGCATGTCTTTTCTTTTCTTCTTTTCCAGAATTCTGACAAAAATTTCAGAATCATGAGATTAAAGTCAGAATTTTGATTTTAAAAAAAGTCTAAATTGTTTTATATTTTTATTTGTTCCCATGAACAAAAATTATAGTGCACACATTCTTTCTATACTTCAAAATTAAGATTTTCCCTTTCTTTTGTGTTTCTGGGTTTATAACTTTATCCTGACATTTAAAGTATTGATGTAGAACTGAAGAAAACAAATATTACCTACCTTTTTCTGTGAATATTATCCTTGGTGAAGACGCAAAGTTTGCCTCAATCCGACTACAGAGGAGTAAAAATAATAAATATGCCGCTAGGCTCATCTTTGGGACCGTCAAGCACGGTTGTCTAAAGATTTGAATACGATTTTGTGAAGAAAAACAACAACACACAAAAATACACGTTCGGATTGCCCAAAAAGTCCTATTTTTTTTCTTGTTAATAGCCAGGGGCCTACGCTGGGGCACGAGGGGGGCAACGCCCCTTAAATCAAACTTTTAGAAGCTGAAAGAAAATAATAGATTACCCACAAACTGAATATGGACAAGATTTTGCAGATGAAAAATCCACTGGAAAAGGCACAGATGAGATGATAGCTTTCACCTCTTGTTCGCTCTTTCCACTCCGTGGTCTGTTTGTGCTCTGTTCTGCGTAGGCTTAAACAGCACTCGGCAGAGATCTCTCCCCCATTTTCTTTAGTTCGTCTATAAGATTGCTAAACAAGGGGG